AAAACCTGTTGGAGGGTATGTTACGAGTCACTTCTGACTCAACAGCATACAATAGCCAACCATAGATTTATTGTAAGAATTAAAGGAGATAATACATGTGCTTTGTCATAAAGTCAGCTACTTCAGTGATTTTTCCCCAGCGACAAAGCTCCAGACTTCAGGTCATTTCCCCTCCTGTTCTGGCCACTCTGAGCAGGAAGCACATCCCTCTTCTCTGTCCCCTGTGTTCAATCTGTCACCACCATCCTGCTGATTCATCTTTACAATGCTTCTGACAACCATCTCCTCCTCTCCATGCTTAGTGCTGTCGCCTGTTTTGGGCCCTCGTTACCTCAGGCCCAGACTATTAAAATTGCCTCCGAACTGTCTCATTTCTATCCTTCACATAGTTGTCAGATCAATCTTCCTAAAACACCCTTCTCATCATGTCACTCTCCTGCTCAGTGGCTCCTAGGAGACCAAGTCTACAGTCAGAAGTGTTTGGTCCTCACTGTGCATCCTAATTGTATTTTCTAAATCTTCTCCCAACAGCCCCCTCCCTGCCTGTACTCTTGGTTCCACCCAACACCTGGACTATTCCTCAGATGGTTCTTAGTACCATGTGCTTCCTGTGTTAGTCTTCTTGCTCGGAGGACTGACCCTTTTTTGCATTCTGCCAAATTTTACCCATCCTTCCAGGCCCAGTTTGAATCTTACCCTCCCTGGGAATTCCTCCTTGATGCACCAGTGAAATCTGATTGTTTTTTGTCTTGATTGGCTTCAGTGTGGCCTTGGATTGCTCACTAGCTTTTCATTGGCTGGTGACTTCATAAATATATGAATGTATCTGCAGCAGAACAGTCAGGCAGGTTCCATATTCCCCATGGACCTCTCACTGTGCCCAGAAGAGAGCAGGTATTCAGTACAAGCGTGCTGGTGCTATGGGATGCCCCAGGTTGGCCATGTCCTGTGGCTGAAGGCACTTCTAGGTTCCTGTGAGGTATTTCCTTCTTATGCCTGGTTGGTTTTTATCTCCTGGGCTAAGGACCGCTCACCTCCTTCCCTATGCCTGAGAAAAGGAGATGAAATTCTCACAGGTCTGCTTATTTGAGCAATGTGGTTATGATCTGCTGCTAATGAGAGAAAGAGAGCACATGTGCTTGAGAAAGTGTGTGTGTGTGTGTGTGTGTGTGTGTGTGTGTG